CTGACTTTCCACCATTTATTTATATATATTATCAATTTGCTTCTTCGACGTTTAATGTAAAATAGTTCGATGGTAAATGTTAAATTGAAGAATAAGTAACGCGTATGAAACGTAATTGTACAATTTTGACGTAACTCACTGTTTGAATTAACACGCTTTAGTTCACAATCTAACGGACTTTAATAAATTTATTAAAGCCTTTAAAAAGTCACATTTCAGAAAATTGTATTAAACAACAATCATTATTATTGGAATTATTATAATCTTATGAATGATGTGATTATTAATATATATCTAATATTTGTTGAATCGCTTGTTGTTATTGTTGCGATCGTTTTTATTTACTCTAACAGTTTAATAATGTTGTTGAAATATTGTTTTAAAATACATGAATTACGAAATATTTAATGAAAGGATTACGATATATGATGGAATGAAATATAAATAATATTTTTATTTTATAACAATCATCGTTTCCTTTTCGATATTAATATTTTCGAAAAAATTGAATATTGCACGAAAATCATACCATAATTCTCATAATTCTAATTTATATTTAAATTAAAAAATTAGAAATTAGATTTTACTACTATTACGCCTTTATCTATTTTATTGCCGATCATAAAGAATTGATTAATGTTAAAAACGAAATAAGCACGAGACCAAACAACAGAGAATAAAAAAGGTATTTTCAATTTTTTTATTTGAAAAAGTTTTCAAATAAAAATGTAAGGTTTCATTGAACATTGACACTGGTATTATCTTAAAAAATTGTACAAAATTATTGTCAACATTAGTCAAAACATTATTGTCAAAATAATGTAATTGAATCATCGGTGAAATTAATTAAAAAAAAAAAAAAGTTTCCCGATGTTAATAAACTGTACTGTAAATAAACTTTTCATAAAAAATGAAAATTTATAATATTATCAAGTTTTTCTCCCTCGTTATCCCTTCGAGATGTATCGTTTTCGCTATTATAATTTTTAATTACGATTCAGAGGGGCGATAAATTTAAAGTTAAAAATTGTATTACGATTTTAATTAGTAGATGCCATTATGATGTGAAATTATTTTATTTAGAACGTTGCATATTCGACGGTGTATATTCGACAATAAACTGATTAGTTTGCGATTAAAAGTTGCTTCAAAGATTAATAACTACTTAGATTTTATTCTAACTCATTAATTACTCAAAGTATTTTGTAAGCAAAAAGTATATAGTATCAACAATGCTAACGATTACTGCTTTTTTTCGGTACATCAGCTGACATCGTGTATGGCTAATGAAATTTTCATGAACTTCCAGCTGATTTGCATCGCAAATAAAATCAGAGCAAAGCAATTGTAATGACAAAATATCCGCGGTTAATTAATATTCTATTTTTTTAGCGTTATCATTAAGCCCTGAATAATTATTGAAATTAAGTTAATAATTATCCGTCGAAGCCATAGTACGTATAAAGTGTGTCATATAAAATATTCAGTCGAGCGCTTAATAGTTATCATAATAATGATAAATAATACCATCCCAATATTTAAAGAAGAATCCGACAAAGTTATATTAATTATTAAACCTATAAATAGGGAATTAACAGCGTTAGGTTCGCCAAGTGTATTAACTCGTGTTTACTTACTCGCATAAACAGATGTAGGAATATAAAGTTTGTTACGCCTGTTTTTGCTTAATTAGCATTTACATGTATTTTTCAAATTTTTTGTCCCAAGTCTGTATTATTTCGTTTTAAAAAATATCCAATTAACTTTCACCAATTGGGCAGATTGAATAGCGGTTGATATTATCAATTGTTGAAAATTGAAAATTCCGTTTCATTTATATATTTTAGACTTTAGTATTTACTTTTTGCGTGAAATAAATCACATTAACACGAAGAACTTAGTTTATTATTAGTTAAACGAAGAGAAATTGTTATATACTTACTGAAAATTTTTCCATCGAATAAAAATAAAATATGAAAAAACACACACACAGACAAACACACGAAACACTAATAAAAAAAAAAAAAAAAAAAAAAAAAAAAAAAAAAAAACAGGCAAAGATGATTTACTTCTCTTTGGAATTGATGACGTCGAAATGTAATGAATTGAATGGTAGAGACACGATGAAAATATGAAGGAAACGAGTTATTTAAAACTATATATAATCGAACTATAGTTGTTACAGTTCTATTACAAGTAAGTAATCTAACTTGAAATGTATACGCGTGTGCACATCCGTACAATTGCATCCATACGATATACGTACTTGTGTTTGTGTGTGCGCGCGTGTGTGCGTGCGTGTGCAAATATGTACGCATCTAACAATGCATACGGGTCCGCGCGTGTGCTTATGCGTGCTCGTGTGCTCGTGTGTGCATTAGTGTCTGTGGGTATGCGGAGGTGTACGTATGCGAGCCTGCATACGCGCGTATGAGCTATTACGCACTCACACATGCGCCAATGTACGCACATGTATCCACATAAGTACATATGCCTTTAGGATGGATGAAAAGAGCTTAATTCACGAATTCTTTACCATTGAATTTGGTATCACGAGCACCTAAATACCGAACTACATTTCGCGGTTGAGAACATTCTTCATAATGAGCTTTCTATTGTTTAATTTAATGCGCGTTGAGCTTCGGCCAATTACAGCTTCAAAATTTGCCGCATATTCTGATTTCATCGTTCACATCAACGAGGACTATTTGTAAATTAAATAAGAGAATGTCACGATAAGCGACGGCCTCTAATCGAAAGATAAAAGCTCATTGGCATTTTTATATCTACTTTCCAAAGCTGATAAAATCATAACGAAATAGAGGCATCCGTATCCGGCCAGCCTATAACTTTAACTATAACAGCTCTAAACGTTTGCTGATACACGCACGCACATCTAAACCGTTCCATTAATCAAAAATCTCGTGCATTTAGTTGGATAATGCGGAGGATGTGCATGTGTAAAGAGAGACGAGAATCCTCAGCGAAGGAGAAAACATTACGAAAGCCGATGGAGTGCGTCGGCATAATGCAGATGCCTGCCTAGCCAGAAGTAGAAGAAGATATTGTTTAGTCAGCCCCGTTTGAAAGCGGAGCGAGATTTAGATTAGTGATCCAAGTTAATTATCAAACGGCTATAATGTGATTGGACGTTGGAAATGGTGCGCCAAGGCTAGGATGGGAAGGCGCAGCGGCAGACTCGATCCCGTGCCTCTAAATAGCTTGGCCAGCGAAAAAGCATTTACATAACCGCGCGAGCTGCGGATATCGTCGATAGCCGTCCAACGATAGCCGGGCGACGGATGTCGTAACGACGAGATCGGCGACGCGATCCGCCGCCCCGCGAGCGTCCCACCATGCACTTGTTCCCGGTAACGCGGCCGCCGAGTCTGCTCCCTCGCTGCCGCGCTGTTTACCTCGTTGGGAGGCGCGGGCGCCCGGCTCCAGGAGACGTGGGGCTTCGGCCGTGGTGGGGCGCATCTCGTCACGCCGCCTCGGCGCTCCCACGGGGGCGGCATCTGGGGCCGCCGTCCGACTGGGCCACCTCAGCCCTCGGGACGGTTCGCCGATCGTGCTGCCGGTGCCCTCCCCGAGAGACAGCTCCCATCCTCGAGGCCGCGGGGCGTCCGCACCTCGTGGGCGCTTTGGCGAGGCCTCGTGCGCGCGGGCCGCCGTCTGCGGTACGTCCTTCGAGCGCCGGTCCGTCTGGGCGTCCCGGGCCGACTGCGTGCGACCGGGCCGCCAGCCGAGTGCCGTACTCCGCGTCCGCCGCGACGCCGACGGAGGGAAAGCCGGGCGCGGGGCTCCGGATGCGCAGACGCGCCGACAGCGACGCGTGGGGACGAGCGATCGATAACCGGACGACCCCGGGGTGGATTCCGAGACCCTCTCTCCCCACCCCCAGTACAGCCCGGCTCCCGCCTACGCGCGCGCGCGCCCTCGCTGCAGCCGCGTCAGGGCGGACGAGCGGGGATGGGGTGGACTGAGATGGCGGGGGGATGAGGGGGGGGTTGGGGGGGGGGGGGGGGAGGGAGGAGGTAGGGTGGTATAGGGGACGATTATGGGGATGGAGCGACTGCAGGGTCAGGGGTAGGGGAAGGGGATGGGGATGTAGAAGCCGAGGAAATCTCGCGGGCCGACGATGCCTGCCCTTCGCGGCGCCCCTGATTGACCGAGGGTCGCCCTTGGCTGTCGTTGATCCTGCGGAGATTGCGCGAATTCGAAGGCGCGCGACGGCCGTCGTCACGTGCCGCCGAGGAGGTGCCGAGAGCACCGAGGCCACTAGAGCCGTGGCTGAGCTATTGTGTTCGCTCCTTCCTAGCGTTAAAGACCAAGGAAGAGGCCTATTATTACTTAAGTCACTCGGCACCCACCAGTCCACCAGCGAGTTTTATCGTTCCCCCTCCCCCTTAAACTGTCCTTTCCCCCACCTCGTCAAGTACCACCACCCATCATGATATCTCACTTAGCGAAGAGAGACCCGCATTATTCCTTCGCTCTTCTCGATTCCTTTCCTCTTACTCTTGCTATTCATATTTAGTCTGTTTTGTCGTTTTAATTTTTCTCTTCTTCTTTTTTACATTCTTAACGTCCTGCTAATTTCGCGCGTCCTGCTTTCCTTTCTCTCGACGATTTCAATTTTTTTTAATTTAAAATCTATATGCGCCTCGGCGAACTCGTCGTGGCTGGCGTAACCGACTGCTATCGGACATTTCTCGCCCCTAATAACGCACAAGCTGCGAGGCAATTTCCGGAAATTGCAAATATAGCTAAATACTCGAATATCTAGTTTTCCCTAACTACTCTACACTTTGTCCATACATTTTATAAAAGTGCCGCGATTTTTGCAACTTCAGCATTAAATGCACATGGGCTATGTTTGGCCAGCTATAATGGAAATGCATAAATTATCGACGATGTTCCATCCTTCCTTCGTCCAAAAGATCTTTGTTAACTTCGTGTTGTCTCTCAAAACGATGTAACAGTATTTATTACTCGTGAAATAAAATTACAGACAAATATTTTTAAAGGAATCAGGACTATACGGAAAATCATCGAATCGCCAAGACCTTATAATTTTAGATTTTTCTACGACGCTTTTTTCTATAATGTACCATTGTATAGTGGCAAATTGCATTAATAACTATCTAATCGTCGATAAATATCGACATCTATATCATTTACAACAATAAAAAATCAATCGTCAATAGCATAGAATATATATAATATTATAAAAGGTCGTATTGAATTTTTTCAAAGAAATAACAATAAAAAAAATTAAAAACCTCGGTTACTATAATGTACATACAAATTTGTATGGCTATGACTTGGATTTTACACGCACACTGTCACAATATACATATGTGAATACATAGACGTGCATATGTGATGAACATTGTTATTTAATAAATTAAATTGGCTTATATTATATTTATATTGTTCAATAGGTGCGTATACGGATATTTAAAAACATTACTCGATTAAATTTGATGAAAACAAAAAACAACAAAACAAAAAACAAAAAAAAACAGAATTCATTCTTCATTATCATTGTATATGTGAAAAGTATAAGTATTGTTATAAAAGATAATTATGTGCCAAGTCAAAAGATAAACAAGTTTTTTTCCATCGCAGTGTTGTATATTATAAAAGTTGGCAACGATAGTATCATATAAAATGATATCTAAAAGCAAATTGTAGTTTGTTCATAGTATGTTCCAATTAACTTGGGCAAAAGTTTATTCTGATTTTCAGGCTTTTCTTTCGCTTGCAATACATGTGTTCTTTAATACCTTACGTTAGATAGGATTGTCATGTTGCTAGGATCTCTAGGTTCTTACCGTTTCCCCTCAAATTCTGGACAATTAACGTTTTAAATATTAAATTACCAAAGACTCCAAGTATATCCGCAATAATGCTCGAAATTCCAGTGCACCATTGCGTTAATAATTCGAATAAAAAAATGAAGAGAGAGAGAGAGAGAGAGAGAGAGAGAGAGAGAGGGAGAGGGAGAGAGAGAAAGTATCGCAAACAGCGAGACGGTAGATCCTTGGAGAAAAAAAAAGAAGCCAACTGCGGAGCCACTATACTTTCATTAATAAATTTCAAATCATATCGTAGCGATAAATTTGTAAATGCGGTGCGTGGCAAGACAGTGGAGTGCAGAGTGCGCTAATGATTCGAACAAGCGCTTGCGAAATCGTTAGTGTGCGTATCGTAGAGTGCGACGAATAATACCGGTGACGCCTACGCCAGTTCAAGTGCTTGTACGAGCGCGCCCGTAACACGCTATGACGTGGCAGAAATGGGCCCGACACATGCGTAACATCGCCTAACCAGGACGCTTATGCGCGCAAATAGTGGCAATGCTGATAAAGGACAATGTATGTGGATGATGAACGAGGCCGCTGATTATCGGCCCTAATAATGAGATGAGGCGTCGCGACGCTAGGCGCCTGGGCAATAAATCCGCGCTTGCCTTAGAATCCGGGTGAAAACGCGAGGAGCGGAGAAGAGCGGAGAAGAGCGGAGAAGAGCGGAGAAGAGCGGAGTCGACGGCCACGAGACGAAGCGAATGTGCCGCGAATAGCTCATCGCCATGCGATCTCAATAACAAATGCCACACGAGGCGTTGGAGACGGCATTGGAGCTTTGATTGATACGAGGCGCGAAAAAGTCGGCTCGCAATCGTCGTCGTTTACCCAATGAGCTCCATTATGATCCACGAGGCAAACGCAGATGCCAAAGGTGATCAAAGTCCCTCGAAGCATTATTTATTATTCGCTCGCTTGGCTTTAGTAGCGAGCGCGAGTCGATGGGCTATCAGCGTCGTAGCACGATTGCTCTTTTCAGGATTTATTCGCTCATGTCGCTCGGCGCACCACGACGATTTGCTAAAGTACAACAAGTTGCGGGGCGGGGCCCCGGCACTTTACGAGCTCATCTCGCTTTCGCATTCACTCTCCCCTCTCGCCGAGACATTGGATTATTTCGACACACGAATTAGCATTTAATGGACAACAAGCTGGGCCGCTGATTCCGACTGGCCATTGATCAAGTGCAGCCGAAGCCCAATACGGAATACGCAATACAGCTTGGCAATTCCAAAGCCGATTATCGTTATTTTTCAGCCTTTATTAGTTTGCGACTTAATTAGGGCGGATGCATTGTTGGTGGGTGGATGGCGGGGGGAGGGGATGGAGGGAGTGGAGAACCAGCGATGTGACGAAAATTACATCTCTCCCTTGTAATTAGTTATATTTAAGTCGGCGACGTCGACAATGCATTAACGATATCGACCGGCCTCATCGACAATCGCTACATGAATTCGAGATTATGCTCTAAAAGAGGTATGCTCGATGCATTATTTTGCATCGTTTATTAAATCGCGAGCACGCAAGCGCCTCTACTTGTTTACAAATAATAATGGCAACGTGCATTTCTATATTGCAAGCCCAGAGCCAGCGTTTAGCAGACCACATTTTACTTTCAATATAAAACTTCGAAGCTTTTAATACGAAAGAAAGAAATACATGCCGTATTATGGTATTCCAATAATTATCCTTTACGAATATAGATACGCCTATATTGTGCGCGCGCGCCTCTGTGTGTTTGTGTTTGTGTTTGTGTGTGAGTGGGTGGGTGGATGGGTGGGTGGGTCTGTGTATATATATGCTCCATTATATTATATATAAATACAACTTTTACTGTTTATGATCGGAATACTTGGTTGAATAGGTAAATACAATTCGGTCGTAGACCATCAGCCGTGGGACTAGTTCGTATCAATAATTTTATTTCTCATCTATTCTGGCAACGTATTTATGAATCCTGCAACTCGATATTTCTCCTCGAAGTATACATATTTCAACAGAATCGAACATTCCCAATGTACTTGAGAAAATTCTATTTAATTATTGTAGCAACGAATGCGTGTAAGCATCGCAAGGTGTAACAATACTCATTAATCAAGCATATACGAAATTATATATGAATGCCCATGAACAAATAGAAGACTTTAGTTTAAACTATAAATTCCAGCGACAACGATTCGCTTAATAAAACAGTGTTTACTATTGTCCTGATACATTCAAAGAGTACAAGCCGAAAATTACCGCGCAAATGTGCGCCAATTGTTTCGCTCGCTCCATTTGAAATTTGTGACGAGTGCCATTAGAGTGACGTATGTCGGCGAGTCTTGAAGAGCCAGAGTCCGACCAAATGATGTTTATCTTATTTCAACACTCGTAAATCCCAAAGTTTTCCACGAAGTCTGGCCAGGATGCTGTCGGGAGTCAATCGATGAGGATGGCGACGATCACGACGACGATGACGAGGATGACGACGATGACGACGATGACGACGATGACGACGATGACGACGATGACAAGGATGACTGCAATGGATGACGATGATGGTTACGATAAAGTCGACGACGACGACGACGACGAGGATGAGAACGACGACGACGACGACGACTAGGATGAGAACGACGACGACGACGACGACGACGACGACGACGACGACGACGACGACGACGACGACGACGACGACGACGACGACGACGACGACGACGACGACGACGACGACGACGACGACGACGACGACGACGACGACGACGACGACGACGACGACGACGACGACGACGACGACGACGACGACGACGACGACGACGACGACGACGACGACGACGACGACGACGACGACGACGACGACGACGACGACGACGACGACG